CCATGTTTCTGCACTTTATGATTTTGGGATTATACTCTGATAACTACTTTCATTATGGCTGCTTTTAAATGGTCGATAAGAATAAATGGTGTTTATATGTTGAATTAAAAATGAAATTTTTACCTTATGATTTTTGGGTCGTTACATTTTTTCTTCTTACTTCATCATGGCCGAAATTATTCTCTCTTCTTTACTTCTCTCTCTTTTGAAGTTAGTTTAGTGATTTAAAGCTTCCTTGAGTTGTCTCCTTTAGTTATTATTTGATTTAAGCACTTAAAGGCTTAAACACTCAAGAATACAAGAATAAACTAGCATTTCAAGTGCCTTACTCTTGATGGTGGATACACTTAGAGAAATTCTACTCTTGAATTTTTGCTATCTTCATCAACACCCCAAAACCAAGTGGGTTCAAAGGCTTCAAACATTGTCACTTTGGTTGTTTTTATTTCATTCTAACCTTTATAAATGGATCCTTGATGGTTTGGTTTTGTTATAAACTAAAAATAAACTTGTTATGTTTATAAGACTTTCGTTGCGGTTTTTATGAAAAACAAACTTATATTTTGTATCAAAACCCATCATTTAGAGAAGGAAATATTTTCTCCATAGTGGTAATGAAAGCAGTGGATTAATCTTTGGATTCGGTGACTCTTAAAGCCTAATGCTAATTGATTTTCACAAAATTACATGCTTCATTAGTTTTGTGACTTTGATTTAGGAAATGTGTTATGAGCTTCTCTAGCCATTTTAATATAAAAGAAGATTTTAGGCAATTTATGCTTATAAATTGTTATAGCCAAGTTATATTGTAAACACAAGTATTGCACCTTGGTATTCTCATGATTATTTAACCAATTGTTCAAGTAATAAAAGTCCAATGTCAACCATATTTCTCTTTTTAAATTAAAAATCAAATCTTTTACTTGTTTATTTATATTTTCAAACCTTATTGTAAGCCTAGTTTCTTTAAAACCTCTAACTATTACCCCCCCCCCCCCTCTTTTACTTTTATTCTTGTTTTACACGTGCTTGAACACAAAGATTTTCATAGAGTTATTAATTTAACCAATCTCTGTGTATATGATCTCTTTACCACTATACACTATTTTAGTGTGAAATATTACGAGTATTTTATTTGTGTTGGTCTCGACAACCACCATTCATTATCATCCCCCATCACTCTCAAACCTCAGAAACCCTAACCTAATCCATCTTGGTGGTTCTTGGCTCATTTTGGTGGTTATTGATCCTCTTTAAAGGAAACAAAAAAGGAGATTTGGTGTAAAGATCAAGCAAGCAACAACTTCACGTCCTTGATATCATATTCTGGACCATTTGTAAGGATTCAAGCTTCTACATTTATGGTTTATTCTCTTAAATCTAAGTGTTTTAGTCCCTTTTTGGTTCTTGGCTTTGATTTAAGTTAATGGACGGAATAAATTTGGCAACTTTATGATCCTCCAGAGTCCCTAGAGCATCATATCTTATGGATCTAAGGATTGGTTGTGGATTTTGAATCTTACATGAAGTTTTAGGTCATTTTCTTGCATTTAACCTAGATCGACTAGAGGACATGCATGGAGCATGCATGTCCATAAAGTTGTCATTTATATGAACCTATAGAGTCCCTTAAAGCTTTCTGGAAAGTTGGAGTTGAAGACTTAATGGATTAATGACTCAAACCATTAAGATTTTGCATCAGACAGTGGTCACGTCATGACATGGAGAGTGTCACGACGTAACGATGGAGTATTCCGCAATTATTTTCTCATGTTGTGTTCACAACGTGACCAAGGAGGGTTCACGTCATGGTGAGTTCTCACAATGTGACCAAGGGTTGGTCACGACGTGAGGGTCAACTGTTGGCTATTGACTTTGACCATTGACCATTGACTTTTTGAACGGTTTGACTTTTGGTCAAACATAAAGGAATTTGGTTATTGATTAAGGTCCTTCCATGTTTTGGTGTCATTCAACTCACAGAAGCAATCTATGTAGAGAGTGAGCATGTGACAGTGTTTCTTGGGTCTCCGATTCAGGTGAGTTTCCTCATTATACTACATGTTGCAGTATATATCCTTGTATGTTAGGATATATATGAGTAGTGGTATGTTGGTTAGAGTATCGGTAGGCTGGTTATCGTCTAGTGGAATGACCTAGGGGTTGTATGTAGTCACATAGGATAGCCTGAGAACTCTTCATCTAGGTTTTCGTCTAGTGGAATGACCTAGGGGTTGTATGTAGTCACATAGGATAGCCTGAGAACTCTTCATCCTTGTTTGGTTGTGGCTCTAAAGTGGGATCATCTGTTTGAATGTCTATCTCACCTTTGGTTACATATAGCTATGCATTCCTTAGAGATTTGACGGTAGTGGCGTAGTGTGCTGGGAGAGGCCTAGTATGCAGTAGTGAGCTGTTAGACAGGTAGATTCGTGTAGATAGTTGCTTGTGTTTATGAGTTTTATTGATTGCTTGGTTGATTACATATGTCGACATATTGTGATGGGTCAGGTTGAGGCGGTCCTGCTTCGTGCTGTAGGCCAAGATACTAGGTGCGGGCCGAATCTAAGCCGTAGGCACAGGAGAGGAACCAGTCATGGATTGGAGGCTCAGGTGATTGGTTGGGTTGAGGTGGTAGGCCAACAAACCCGAGAGCAATCCAGTAATCGGCTGAGGGCCGAGAGGGCATTTCAGTCTTATGTTGTGGGTTCAAAGGCAATCCAGTATTTGTGATGCGGACCCGGGAGCAATCCAGTCTTCGTGTTGTGGATCGTTTCTGTAAAAAAAATGCACAACGATTTTTTGTGTAAATTACAAGGATAATTTTGTAAATTATTTTCTACATATAGGTCAAACATGCCAACATACGAAAATCTTAAACATAGGGATTGTAGGAACCTTTTCGGTAAATTACAAAGTTATAGGGATTGAATCGGTCAATATTCAAAACCTTTGTAGCAAAAATCTGAAATATTAAAATGTTGACTAAATCTTCCATTATTGAAAAAATTTATGGCAAAAACCTCAAATGTTAAAGTTATGCGGTAAAATCTCAAATACGATAAAAAACCTCAAATACAAAAATTATGTGGCAAAATCTTTAAATGCTAAAGTTTACTATTCATTTGATAGTTTGATTATTATTATTTTTTGACAAAACTGTAAGATTGGTCCATGTGGTATTTAAAAAACTTTGGATGAGGTCCAAAAACTTTCTCACTTGCATGGAATGTCCAAAATCAAAACATTTCTATGATTTTGGTCCAAAAAAACTTGAAAAGACGATGATGCCCTTTTATTTTCTTTTTTGTATTTTTTATAATCATTCTAATACTATTTTAATTAAAAAATAAAGAAAAAAGAAAAAAATTATCCCCCACCCTACCCACTGTTCTCCCCCTCCCCCGCCCCCTCTCTTTAATCGCTGGTATGAATCGATTTAGCTGCTAAGAATCGATTGATTATTTGTCATCGTTTGAGTTGTCTTCTTTCATGAACCAATTTCTTGTGAGAATCGATTGATTCCTGAAAATTGATGGTTCATTACAATTGATTGCTTGCTAAGTAAACAAAATCTATTGTAGTTGATACTGGTTGTTGAAAATCAAATTATGCTGAAAATTGATAGTTGCTATGTAGAAAAGAAAACCATCTAAGAAGCATCTTCATCTTCAAGGTCTTGGAATCGATAGGGATTAAACCTCAGCAATAATCGCATCTCATCAAGAACCCTATTGTTGGTGTTCGTCTGATCAGAAAAGAAGAGTTCAGCCCAGTGGTCGCCTTACAATCACTTCTGGGTTTTTGATCTTCATCCCGATTGGTCTCTTGGAGATAGATGGTTGTTGTTTATCTGGAAATCTATGAAGAATGCGAGGGATAAAGATGGAATTTTGATTGAAATTTGATGGGTTCTAGGTCTTGATTCGTGTATAAGAGAGAAACAAGGTATGATTTTCATTCGTGATGCAGTTTTGGGTCTTGAAATCCTCTTCAACATCATATCTTCTTCTTCATTTGAATCTGCAAATGGATCGATTTTAAGTTTTTCCCAATAAATCCGTTTCGATTTTTTTGGCATCAGCTATGCAAGAGCTATAAATGCCCAAATTTTTATTTGAAATTCTTTGTGTTGATGAATGAGATTTGTTTATCGATTCTTGTGAGTTTTGAAATGGGAAGGTAATGCAGATTAATCGAATGGAGTTTTCGAATGTATGAATTTTCATTTATGTTATTGTTCACGCTTATGAAATGGGTGTTGATGTATTTGTTTTTGTAATTTCTGGTTATCCAATAAAGACGAAGACTGTTATGTTTCTTTAGTTTGCATAAGAGACATACATGGGAGGGTGGATTTTGTTTTTTAGAGTTGCAACTTTTTTTTTAGTTGTAGGGTATGTGTATCTACGCGAAGTGTTTTTTTTTTATTATTATTTTGTGATATTTGATCATTGATTGTGAAGAACATGATTTTGGGTTTTTTTGTTAGCTTGATTTTGGTTTCAATTTGAATGGTCTCTCATCCTCACACATCTGGAATGGAGGTGAGTTTTGTAGGTTAAAATGCAAAAAATGGATGGAGACAGCAATAGAAAGAGAGAGAGAGAGAGAGAGAGAGAGAGAGAGAGAGAGAGAGAGAGAGAGGGGGGGTTACGGATGTGGGATGGATGGGTAGATATTTATTTTATTTTTAAATTGTAAAGTATTAATATAGATTTAAAAATTAAAAAGAAAAAGATAAAATAACATTTTCAAGTTGTTTAATTTTAGACCTTCTATCCAAGTAAAAAAGTTTTTAGACCCAATCTAAAATTTTTTGATAAGAACCAATCTTGCAGTTTTGTCTTATTTTTTTCGTTTAGCCACATAACTAACACTCTGAAAACCATTCATCCAACTCTACACATTTGATATTTTCTCAATTATTAAAAGGAAAGAACACTCATTTACAAATCGTGTTTCAATAGATTCAACTATACCAATTACGAGGCAATCCTACCATCGAAAACAAATTCAACAAGCTCACTTTTTTGGAATGTTATAAAGCTAAAATCCCAATTTAGTAAGTAAGTTTCATAGTCTACCTTCAATTTCAAACACATAATTAATTCCCTATGACTTTCAAATAAATAACAAGAACCAAAAAAAGCACCTAAAATCCCATTTTATTATCACAAATACTGTTCTTGAATCCTGCCTCTGTTTTGCTCCCACCACATCCTCGCATTCATTTCTCCAAACTTTTCTCGACTGCAAAACCAACATTATATATAAATATATAATTGAACATCTCTTATCTAACCAACCAACTATTTCATGTTTCCACATTTGGTTTTTTTTTTTTGTACATATTAACTTTAAAAAGTATAGAAAATTAAAAAATATAATATTTATTTTTACCTGAAGCGGACACGCCTGAGCTCACGGTTGCCACCTGGCAATGCTCTGATGGTAATGTAGACACCTGGCTCATCCTGCTCCACCCATTCGGTTTCCAAATCACTGGCGTTGCTGATAGAAAGGTCTCCTGAGTGATCAGTGGAACTACTCCTAGCAGAAGCTAAGGATGATGTTTCAGTTTTGGCCCCACTTATGCTTGATAATGCAGGTGTCGATACATCTGCAGGCCCATTAGAATTAGATTCATGTTTTTGGTAGAAATGACGAGGTGGTGGTTCTTTGCTAAGTGGTGGTGTCACTGGGCTGTTTTCTAATGACTCCATTTTTGAGCCCTGTGGAAAACAAAATACATACAAGTCAAGGACTGGAATCTGTCACAAGGAATTGGAATTCGTAATGTGTTTGGTTGGAATGAAATTCAATTATAAAAACTCAACAGTTTTTAAATGTTCATTTGTAAATAAATATTTAAGAGAGTAAATTACAAAAATGGTATGCGAATGTCCAAAAATGGAACCATTTGTGGTTTTGGTCCTTATGGCTAGGTTTCATATCAATTTTGGTCCTCGTGTGGTTAACTTTAATATCCCTTTTCTTAAATTGGTAGACCCTTTTGCCCTTGCTTTTGGATAAAAATTGTTAACATACCACAAAGATCAAATTTGAAAGAATGTTGTGATTGTTAATATTTTGGTTCAAAAAATAAGGGCAAAATGCACATTTTAACAAACTTAACAAAAAGATCTGTTAAAGTTGATGCCACAGGGACCAAAATGGATATGAAACATTGCAGTAAAGAACAAAACTGAAAAAGGTTTTGTTTTCGGACTAAAGCCTGGTTAAAATCACATATGACGTACCACAGGGACCTTTTTTGTAATTTACTCTATATAGTAAGGGTATTTTTGTCTTTTAAAAATGCAATTCAATTCCTTCCACACAACCCTCGGAATGGTGAAATCCATCAAACATGGTATTTGAAGGAATCTCAAATTCCAATTGGAATTTGAGTTCCTAAAAGGGGTTGAAGATTAACCTCATCTTCAGATTTTGGAGGAGCAGGTAGTGGTACTCCTTGATGATTGAAGTGTTGAACATTGTATAACTCCATAACTTTCTCACAGTTCTCAGCCCACCACCTTTGAGCTTGCCTTTTGTTGAACATTTCACGGCTTTATATATATATGAAGTTACATTACACACCATTAAAATGTCATTTCCTCAATAATTAAACTAAACTAGCAAGCAAGCAAAATAACAGGAATATCAAAAGACCCCACTGGATCATTTTGGGCCATATAAAAATCAATTATGTTCAACTGCAGGAATGGAGGGGTCCCCTAAGTTTATCAACAGCATAAAGAGTCACAATCGTTGTCTAAGAATGACCAAATGCATATACATATAACAACAGACAATTCGGGTCTCCAACATAAATTTCATACGCATGGTGGTGTCATGCTTTTAAAAGCTTTAAAAAAGGTGGTATTGCTTCACCTCAGCTATCCTCCATATTCCAATGAGGGAACATAATTCAGGATAAAAAGGGACTCTCCATGTGATGCAAACAGATGCATTTGTTCTCCAATTATTACAGTATTAGTATTAGTATGTATGTATCATCTAACGCTTTATGTTTTCATTTCAACCATGACCATATCTAGTTTGTGCCTTTGTGGTGTGATCTTAAATTAATGCAGTAATGGACCCACAGACAACAGTCACATCTTTGGTTCTTTGTGTGTGTAGCATATAAGCATATAAGCATATAAATGGAAATTCAAAATGGCTCAAACCAACAAAACCTTAAGCTCTAAACAAAGGATGTAATGGACCCACATGACATAGAGAGTTTATTTGACTGTATCTTGCTTTTATCAAACTGATAGATTTTGTCTGCATTATAATTTGTTTTCGTTTGTAAATTGTTATGTAAGAAGAATAAGTGGTATTGCTGATGTTAACCGACACCCAATTGGGGGCCACTTTCATAATTTCGGGCATTATGCAAGCTAGTGTCTGGTTCTCACATACGAGTTGAAATTTGACTTTATTTTGGAAGTAATAGATACCAACAGTAAACGAGCATTGCTACGATTGAAAAGAAGAATCAGAAGTTGATATTTCCATTTGAATTTGAATACATACCTGAATCGAATACGTTTTAGATCGTTGCCTCCTTGAGGTAATGAATGGAACGTGATGAGGACCCCTGGTTCGACCTGAGCAACCCATTCTTTAAGCTCGTCTTCCTCTATGAACTTAACTGATTCAATTCTGTCACTGTATGAGGCCGGAGTGCTCCCACCACTCGAAAGCCCCTTCAACCTCGCCTCCATTTCCTTTCCCCAAACCCTAGGTGTAGAATTACAAGTCCTTTGGTACCCACAGTGAAATCTATCGGACCCTGAACCAGCTTCAGAGTCCGCATAGCCATCATTAGTCCGGTTGTGATTTGATGATCCGGAGCAAGGCTTGCAGTTCTTGTATGCTCCCGATGCCTTTACCGCCATATCCTTGATCTATAAACCATTAATGATATAAATATTAATAAATTAGCATCAAACGATCAATCATTACGATTTATTAGTAATGTGACGGAAACGTCAGTTTTACCTGAGATGTGAGAGCTTTAATGGCTGGCTTACTGCGAGGTGTAGCGCCGGTGTCATCTTCTTCCTGTTCGGGAAGAGATCCACCGCCGAGCTGCTTCGAACAAGCAATACAAGTCAACATACTCGATTCTATTTTCCGATCCCAACTCTCGCGTTCAAAATAATCTCCGATTTAATTGAATCCAATTCGAACTCGCTACACGAGTTAAACTTCCAAATCGTACACAACGCTTCCGGTTGCAATTGCTTCCATCAACACAATTCGATCGAATAAAAACTAAAGTTATGAAACATAGATTTGAATACACGCAGTTTGCGCGTTGTAAAATAAATGAAAAACCCGTTATAGAAACGTTAATGACGAAGATTGACGAAGATGGAAGCAAAGAATGATGTAAAGTTGTTGAAACTCCGAATCTGTTAACGAAAACCTAAGCAGACACCACCTACGAAGAACATACACATTGTTCACTTCACTGCACCAGTTGATCGAGGGATTTGGTTGTGATAGGTGTGCATTAACTTTTCTTTCAAGTATGGAGGAGAGAGAGGGCTGTAGTCATGTGATGTGCGCCACCCTATTTTATATATTGCTGGTACCGGTGTACGAGGCGACGGCCGAACGGCGAGTAGTGCCACTGCTAGTGATACTGCTAGTAGTACTAATGCCTGGTGCTTATAATGACTATGACCAATGGGCAGGGTTATATTGAATTAAACAAAGTCGTGGTAGAATGAAAAGTAAATTTTGATAATTAAAAAGCCAAGAACCAAAGCGAATAACCTATGAATGGAAAAGAGCGGTTTAGGCTATCCGGAGTGGATAGCTCTCCACGCGTGAAGGGTTGAGAAGGGCTGAGCTAGAGGGGCTAAGTACGTGTGAACACCGCCCCCAGCCCCAGTGGTTTGGGTGTGGCGTTGCCATGGAGATGGACGAAGACGCTGCATTTGATTGGTTCCCTCACATTTTCTCTCTTTATCTCTCTCTTCTTTTAGCACCTTCACTATCTAACCACCGGTGAACACCGCCCCCCGGTGGTTTGGGTGTGGAATGGTAAAATATCTACGTGCATCACCTTTATTCACAAACCATACATAACCATTGCCGATAGCCTTAGGAGAAGTAATGTGGATTTGCGGTCCTAACGATGCCATCGTTGCCATCGACTGACACTAATAATGGTTAACTCAATTTATATTTATTTTTATACAAATAATAATAATAATAATAATAATAAATGATCATCGTTTAAGGTAATGTGGTAAAATTTATCATTGTATCACAGTTACTAGTAACGTTTAAAGTATAATATAATATAATTTACTTAGACTGAAGAGAGTGTCAAATATGATGTGGACAATAGAGAAACTGATGTGGAGCTCTCCAACATCGTGCCAAGTGCATAGCATATCGATATTTTCTCTCTCATCGACAGACAAGTATCTTTTCTTTCTTTTCAAAAAAGAAGATGACTAAGGTGGAGTTCACACACACTAATGGCTCTTCCAATCTTATTTTGTCAAATTAGGCAAGGTTTAATAACATATAAGATCATCAAAATATTTGTTCCTACAAAAAAATCATCGTACAATCATACATGGTCCGCTCCCAAACTAATAACAATGATTTTCTAGTTTGCAAGCATATCTTTTAGCTAATGAAGTTGCCGAGTAGCTGAATATTCTCTTATTTTGAAAAAGAAAAATAAATAAATAAATAACCATCGAACTGTGTATGTTGTGTTTGTGAATCTGCCCGTTAAACAAGGAAATGATACATCTAGGTTCGTCTCAAAACCCTTGCGGGTTTGTGAAAGAAAATTCTCACGTATAGTTTATCTTATTAATGAAAAAAGTTTCCACTAAAGGAAATTTAATAATTCTAGTTTGGACTGTGCAAAATCAATGACGCATTCTTATATAGATATTAAAGATGGACCATCCTTAGGAATAGCGAACATCCTGATTTTTTTGGCAAAACTGGTCCTTTCTTTGGTTATGGGTATGTGTTCTCTTGTGGCTTTGTTGCTGCCGGTTTTTTTATGGGGCATATTATGTTATTTTCTCAATTCTTTATGATACGTGTCTTTCTTTCCTTCCCTCTTCCGATGTAATTGATACGTGTCATTACCACCGACTCAAATCCCTCTTTTCCACTTCCTGATCCATCTTATCCACCACTACCCTCTGTGAGGGCTTCTGTTTAGAACCTATTGAGAACTGCCATCACCACCGTCTGCTTGCATCACCGATCTCCGCCAGCTGCAACCATCGTCATCCCATCGGCTTTTGGCTTCAGCCTGACACCTATTTTTCATCGTTTTTCTATCGAATTTCAACTGTACAACGTCTACCCCACAGGCGATTTGCGATTTGCAGCTAAGCAGATTTTCATTTCGGATTTGAACGAAGCTATTGTTCAATTTCGATATAATTTGGATTTTGTTTTTTTCATTCTTTATTATAAATTTTGAAAGTGAGTTTGATGATGCACACAAAGTGCTCGATGAAATGTTACAACCAAATGTTAATGTTTCTTACATCTGTTGTACTTTGTGGATGCAGGGATTTCCAAGCACTATGATGTTGTCGATCTTTTACTGTGTCCATGGTAAATATGTGGAATTGAGATAAAGCATCGGTGGTTTTCAGGTAATTTTATATCATTTTTTTACTCAATATTTACACTTTTATTCACTCCATTTATTGATAATTATCTGCTTTTGTATTATTGATGGGGCTGATTGGAGATGTGTTGTTGACAACCTTTTAACCAAAAAGAGGTGTTGCAAAGGCTTCAACAACTAAACTATATACTCAATCATCAACTACAGATGATTCTCTCCAAATGAATCCTTTGATAACAAGCACGAAGTGGCCAAAATGATCGGAACTGTCCAAATCCATCCCTGCAAAGCGGGGTTCCTCATCGAGTTCATTATTAGTAGAATTGTGTGTTGGATACATGAGTTTTTTTTAGAAAGAAAAAAAAAAAAAAAAAAAAAAAAAAAAAAAAAAAACTGTTTTAGCACTAATGAAATTGGTCATAACCTTTTTATATTAAACAAATTTTAAAATATTTTTTAAATGAGATACCCACACTCGATAAAATGTTAACAACTTCAGGAACTATTGAAAAGTCATGGGGGCGTTTGCTTCGTGAGTTTTCGAGAGATTATGAGGGAATTAGAATTTGATGATGATGATTTCTCGTGTTTAGTTGTAAAAATATAAGAAATTAAATGCCAATAAAATGCTACAAAACCTTCTTCTCTAGTGATGTAAAAGGAATTTCTTTTTGGGAAATCTTGAATGAATCTTTGACAACATTTGAGTAAACTAATAAAACCTTCATTTTATTGGTTTATGAACGTGAGTTTTCCCACTTTGTTATGCACTCAGTTTTATTTTGGCCTACCATGATATTGTCTTTTGTGATATCATGTCCTATGAAGGGGACTTCTACGTTGATAACTTTGAATAAGTTGTTCTTGTGTCAAAATTTCTAACGTTGTCATTTGTAAATATTGTTTGTGTTATTCTTGGCTTTTAGAATATATGAGAGTATTATCAATGAATAAATTAATAAATTGTCAAGTTAAGCCTTACATACCTACTTTGTGAGATCCATGAACACTTTTGGTGCCTTCGTCAAACAAAACAAAAAATCAATATTTAGGATATCCTCCTTTTGTACCTTTAAATGATGATAACTTGAGCGTAATTCCAATTTCGACAAATTGTCACTGCTTTGATCAAACAAGTTATCAATTCTTGGTAAGAGATGTCACTTTTTAATCGTGACTTTATTTGATTCACGATAAACAATACACATTCTCATTGTTTAATTATTATAACATATTTATGAATATGCAAATTCAAGAGATTGGTGATGTCAAATTGCTTATTTGTACGGCGATTCATTTTATAATTTTAACCCACCAAATTTAAGGAGGTTAGATTGTTTCTATAAGGAAGATTAGGGCATTCATAATGCATTGAACTCCAAAGAGTTCAATGGATTGTCACATCATTTTTTTGACATCCCATACAACTGTATCAATTTTTTCTTACAATGCATTGTACTCTATAAAGTTCAATAGAAAGTTAGCAAAACTAATTTATAGTATATATTTAAGATTGGAAAACTTTTCTTTTTCCCACTGAACTCCAAATCCATTGAATTCCAATATGGTATCTCATTATGGTAGAGTTTCATCAATTGAATGACAACTAAATTTGCCACCACATTCAACCCTCCTACTGAACTAACCATTATGGATGCTCTTATATTGGTTCATATAGGAAGTCTATTGTACACGAGCTTCTTCATTGCATCTGTCATGTGTTACACAAAGAAAGATTTGCTAACATTAAATATAGGGAAAATGACGCAACGACCCTATTATGTATTACGACTTTGCCCATTAAGTCCCTAAAGTTTTTTTCGTGCCTTTTAAGAAAACAAAGTGGTTTTTGTCGAGTCGATTGGGTCCTTTTGTAAGAGTTGAAGGAGTCAGTAGGTAACTTCTTTGCTTTTTTCCCTCAACCCATGTTGACTTTCAAAAGTCAAAGGTCTTTGCCTATTCCCTCATATACAACATCACAACTTCGTTTTTGCGTCTTTTCCTATTGGTTTTTCTTGTGAAGTTTAGAGAGAGAGAGAGGGAGAGGGAAAGAGAGAGAGAAATAGAGAAAGAAAGAGAGAGAGAAAGGGGGGGAGAAATAACTATAGAGCGACCACATTCCTCTCATGATTTTCCCCAAATCCTCTTTCGTGGAAAGATAAAGTTTTGACCGGATACTTGCGCGACCATCGACGCTAACAGCGGCGGCGGTAGAATGCCAGGCTTACGGGAATGCTTCATCGGATTGAGTACCCCACCACACTGCAAACATCAACTCGCATTTCAGTTTGTCTCTTTTTCGATCAGATAATCGATACCACTATGGAGCAAGAGGAGAATCTGGTGGGACTCGTTTGGGAACCTCGTTGAGATCGAATAAAACTCCACCCATGATATCGTCTTTCATGAGATCTTTATCTTTTACTATAACGTCGAGCATTGTGGCTTGAATTCGATCTTTGGAGAAGGAGAAGGCTTGGTTCCATTCTGAATTGCTTTTCTTCTCGAAATAACGAGTGGTTCCTTTGTAGTTCCCCATTCGAACCTCGACGTATGGGTCACAGCTTCATGTGACGTCTTTTGTGGGTAAATATTTGGCTTTAACGACACGAACGTATAAGTATTTCATTTGTTCGACGAGGTCATGGGTGCTTGTGAGCTTATCTATGGTGACCTTACCACCGTTGAGGTGGGGTTTCGTATCTTTGAGCGAGAAATCTTCATTTGAGGTCTGTTCGTATTCATCATCCGGGGTTCCTCCAAATTGAAAAACCAGTAAAGAATCAATCAAATAAAAAACATAAATGTTTAAGCAGATTTGAAAACCATGTAATCCCCACCTTATGAAATTAAAATAGGGTAGATTTGACAGCTACAGATGTTGGTCTAGGAACAAACAAATCGTCAAAATGTGATTTTGACTTTTTAAATGGAAAATGCTTAAATAGCATAGAGACCGGCTAATATAGGTTAGCAGGAGTAAAAAGACATGTCACTTTAAAGTTTATTCCTTCATAAAGCAGGAAAATAAGTTAAGGGACTAAATGAGCAAATTCGAAATACATCATTGGGCCAAGGTGTCATTT